GGGGTGTGGTAAAGGGTGGTCGGTGTGTAAGGCTGACAACGTAACTGCCATCTGTGAGCTGATTGTGTAGAGAAAATGTGGGAGCCTTGACGTCTCACAATCCTATGGGCTTTTACAGCCTTTTACAGGGATAGCTATAGCTTACCTTTATATACTCTGATGAAACACAGCTGTCACTGGGACTCACAGCAAGATATTAATTAATCAAAAAATTCTGTTCTTTTTAACAAAACATATTTAAAATAATGGCGTTTTAACCCTTACAAGATAGCACATGTGTGCTATATATGTGAAGCATTTCCTTTGTAGTGATGGTCTTCCGGTGATGCTCATCCTTGGTTGAAACATGTAGAGGTTCAATTTTATTATTAAAAAAAAACATTGTTGCATTTGATAGAATTGAATCCTAATTTTATTTACATGTATCTTATTTTTCAGAGGAACATGTCACCTCCATCATTAGGGTCAGAGAATAAGCCAAGCAGGAAATATGCATAAAGCAGGTGGCAAGCAGAGCTCATCTGCTTCATGCTGAATTCATGCTTTGATCCTGAAGATGGAAGCAGCATGTTCCTTGGTTGACTTTCACCAAACTTTTATGATTATTATATTCCAGAAGATAGAAGTCTTCAATCATTTATATAGTTTGCTGATCCCGTATTTTTCTACCTGTCTGTCAAGTTCTAGGATCTTTATCTAAAAAGAAACGTATACAATAATAGTATGATGGGTGGAGGAGGAAATGCTGTGTTTGAACCGACTTTTATGTACTGGTATGAATTGTTGCTGAAATTAAGAACATATTTTTTTCAGTTCCCATTGGCATGATTGGAATTTCTCGTGAACCACGGTCATGTGTGCTACGTCAACGGCAAGAGCGCTCTCCTCTTCAAAAGCTTTTGGACTACCTTCTGAAAGGTTTAGAGAAGAGAGATCCACAGCAGTTTTTTGCATGGCCAGTTACAGATCACATTGCACCAGGCTACTCTCAGATCATACATCAGCCAATGGACTTCAGCACCATGAAGCAGAAGATTGATGAAAATCAATATTCATCTCTTAATGAATACATTGTAAGATGGACCATTATGAGTATTAAATAAAATTAACTTTATGCCAAGAGTAGCACTGTTAGATAAAATGGAACTGTGAATAAAGGTCAGGAAGTTATGTAACACTTCTTAAATGATGTTGGCTTCAACTAAATTAAGTGGTTTTTAAAATAAAACAAGATATTAAATAAATTACATACAGTGTTAGTTTAATTTTTGTACTTTCATGAGGAAGTTTCCAGTGTAGCACTTAGAAAGGACAAACCAAAACAAAATAAGTATATATTGAATTATAAGCTAATAATTGACAGTCATTTTTTGGATTTTCTTAAGAGATGCTGCTGTGAAGTTGTAGGATTTGCTTGGGTACTTTTGTATATGCCTTTCCTTAATTTGTGTTAATTATAATATGGGCATGCGGTAGCATAGTTGGTTAAGGCACTATGCTACAAGCCAGAAGGTCGCGGGTTTAAGTCCCGATGAGGTCATTGCATTTTTTCAATTGACCTAATCCTTCCAGCCGCACTATGGCCCTGGGGTTGACTCAGCCTCTAACAGAAATGAGTACCAGGAATTAGTTAAATAATTTTCCTGGGGAGTAAAGCACGGCTGGTGCATAAGGCTGACAACCTTTCCGCCATCTTTGAGCTGATTGTCTAGATAATGTGTGACCCTCAACGTCTCACAACCCTATGGGCCTTCACGGCCTGTTACAGGGATAGCTTTACTTTTACTTTTTATAATATTATGGTATAAATTCTGTTCTTGAATGAGTATTGTTTGTTTTGACTAACAGGAAGATTTTAAATTGATGTGCAATAATGCCATGGTGTACAATCATCCCGAGACAATCTACTATAAGGCTGCAAAGAAGCTTCTTCATGTTGGGGTTAAAATGATGAGCCCTGATAAGTTGAAGCCACTCCATTCTGTTTTGACATATATGGGAGAATTAACACGTGATGAGCTTGGATTTGATTTGGGCTTTGAAGAACTAGTCCAGGTATCTGGAAGTGTGAATTCAGAAACACCAGATGATCAGACTGTTGGAGAAGAAGGTGAGGAGTCATTGTTAGAGCTCCGCAGAGAACACAGGAGAAAGCTGAAGGAAGCCAATAGACCACTGTGAGTGTTCAGTTTTTTTACATTACTAATGTGACAAGCTAGTTAAGTATTGTTTGTGACCATGGATGTTGTTTCCTGGAAAGGATGGACATCTAAAAATGAGGTATATTTATAATATTCATAGGCATACTTTATACATTACTTATATAGAATTTTATAAAATCTCACAGGTGATGGATATGCATGAAATGTGTACATGACATACTATTCACATTTTTGAAACCTATGTTTTTTTCTGATTCGTGTGCAAAGTTTGAAAGTTAAGTGACATGTAAAGAATTCTCATAATTATTTCACATACACAGTGCATAAAAACGAATCTTTACAAGAACAAAACATCTTTGATTTTAAGTAGTCTCTAAAGGGTTCTAATGATGTTTGATAACACACAGAATTACTGGGTTTTGGACTCTTTCCATCGTCCGGAATTCTAGGAAATAGAAAACACGACGTTTCAGAAACTGGTTCTATTTCCGTCTTCACGTGAGGAAGGAAGACACAGAAAGAACTAATCTCAATCACTGGTCCAGTTTCTGAAATGTCGTGTTTTGTATTTCCTAGAATTCTGGATGATGGAAAAAGTCCAGAAACCCAGTAATTCTGTATCTGTGATTTTGTTTGCAGTGGTAAATTTGAAGCGGTACCAGATGATTTGACCCCAGAGGAAATTCTTGAACAAGCCCAGAGAGCAGCTGAGGCAGCTGCTGAGAGGCTGACCCTGAAGAGACCAAACACAAATGTATGTAACTGTCAATTACTAAGAATTTAGTTTAGTTCACTATGATTTACTGAACATGTGGCTTCTTTGCATTGTAACTGGCATAATTCATTCTCGTTTTGACCTGCGTTGTATTTACAAATATATATATATATATATACCTATCTTTTATAGATTAAGGGAAGGCAGATGAATGAATCATATGGGTGCATTAATTGCTAACATTCGTATTTGTGAAATTTTTGTCATGATACATTAATTTTAATGTGATGACTTATTTTAGGGCATTTATTAAATGATTTGTGTAGAGAAGTAACTGCTGTTCATTCTGAGAATCATATGAAGCATATAAATAATCTTCATAGGAAAAATGTTGAGTGTTTTTCAGTGTGAGGGGTTAAAGAGACAATGATCGAGGTTAGAATTGGATGTGAATGAGAAATGACTGTATTTATCAAAGTTGCAGTGTATTTGTGGATTTATTTCTTGTTTTATTAGTATTGATTACTCCTTTTTAGCTGGGTTTCTTGAGACAGCGTAAAGATGGTAGCACATCTTTATCAATCCTTGTCCCTGGTGATGGTGTAACACCAGGGACCAATGAACGACCCATCTCATTAGGAATGTTGACTGGGAAACTCACACATGGAACAGGACAGCTGCAAGGGTTCCGGGAGGACAGGCGGAATCTTGCTAAGACTGGTATGAATAAATGGATCGAATCCTACTATTGACAGTAGGGAATAAGTACAGTGTGGTTGCATTTTATGGAAATTTGAAATAGTGTAATATAAAAAATATTAATGAAGTCTTACTTTATGTGTAAAATATGAAATAATGTGAATCCCAAAAAATTCTGCAATATGTTTATTCCTGTGAGAAAACTTGTCTTGAATTATGCGAAGTCTTGAGGGCTGCATCCCTCACATAAAATGTGACTGCATTGTATGTAATTGAGAGGTCCATTAGAGCAATATTTTGGTTTTATGGAGACACCATGAAGACATAGGGGGGAGGGGGTGGAGGTATAGCTCAGTTCTTCATGTCTGCACTAGTTGGAGGTGAGTGGTCAGCTTCATGCTCCAGCCACTTTATGCCCAGCAAATTAGCCCCAGGTACCCATTGGATAGAAGGCTGGGTGGGCCTCAGAGCTGGTCTGGATGCCGTGGAGAGGAGAAATATCTCTTTCCCCTGTTCAGATTGTTAATTGGTTTATTTAACAACCTACAAGTTGTAACTACAAATACTTATAACACTGTTGTGGGTTTAGACAATTTACAAACCCCACACAATAATCTGTTCACTCTATCTTCGATGGTCTTTACTTATTCACAGTAAGATACGGGAGCTATACCAGTGTTACTGTATTACACACTTCCAATAACTTCTCACACTATCACCTCTAATCACATGGTCTGGTATTCTTCACATTCATGATTCACTTGCTACAATTCAACTGACTCCTTAGGCACTGCAGTTCTCTTATAAACCCTCAGGCAGACAACGGAAAACGCGCCTCGCTTCCCTGTTGCATAATCGCCATATTTACGGGCGTTCCTGGGCAACGCTGTCGAGACTTGTTTACTGCTGTGTAGTAACTGCGGTATCCCTTGTTACGTCACTGTGGAAAGTGCTGTTACGTCACCATGGCAATGGTTGCCTGGCACAGTTGCTCTTCTGTTACGTCACCGTGGGGAAAGGGGTGTTTACCGAGTTGTGTGTGCTGATGGAAGGAGTGGGGGTATGTGACGTCACTCGCAAGACTGCAGAGTTCACGTGACCCCTACTTTCTATTGCGCCATCCACGTCACAATATTATTGTGATAACATCTTTTAATAATATTGTAGTATTGTTATACCGCATTACTACTACTGTTGTATTTACTAGTTTCTATTTCATGTTTTACATCAACTTTTTTCTTATTTGCAGTTAAACCATTGTATTATGGTGCTTTTGGCTCTTATGCACCTTCTTATGATTCTACGTTTGCAAATTTAACAAAAGAGGAATCAGATCTAGTATACCAAACTTATGGAGATGAAACATGTGTTCAATATGCTGAAAGGTAAGCATTAAGAAATACTCAGGTAATATGCTATAATAAGAACATTTTTTTAGGATTTTGGAGAAAAAACTCTGTATGATATACTACTCTGTCCAAAAAATATCCGACCTTGGGCCGGGAAAAAAAAGTTCTGTATCTGGGTGGTTACAATACCTAACCCCCTTCAAAGTAGGCCCCTTGTGACTCCACACACTTAGCCCAGCAGTCCTTCCATCGCTGGAAGCAATTCTGGAAGGCTTCTTTTAGAATGGCTAGCAGCTGCGCCGTCGCGTTCTGTATGATGTCCTCACAGCTGTCAAAATGGCAGCCTTTTAGCGGTGTCTTCAATCTCAGGAACAGCCAGAAATCACAACGAGCCATGTCAGGAGAGTAGAGAGCCTGGCGAACCTGCGGAATGCTGTGCTTGGCCAGGAAACCCTGGATCAGGTGTGATGAATGAGCTGGGGCGTTGTCATGATGCAGCTGCCAGTTGTGTGCACCCCACAGCTCCGGTCTCTTGCGCCAAACTGCATCAGGAAGATGGCGGAGGACTTCTTGATAGTACTCCTTATTGACAGTCTGGCCTAGTCATGCGTACTCATGATGCACAACACCCCGGCAATCGAAAAAAACAGTCAGTATCACCTTCACATTGCTCCGAATCTGTTGTGCTCTTTTGGGCCGCGGGGCTGTTGGATGCTTCCATTGTGACGCCTGGACCTTGGTTTTCGGGTCATATCCATACATNCCTTCCATCGCTGGAAGCAATTCTGGAAGGCTTCTTTTAGAATGGCTAGCAGCTGCGCCGTCGCGTTCTGTATGATGTCCTCACAGCTGTCAAAATGGCAGCCTTTTAGCGGTGTCTTCAGTCTCAGGAACAGCCAGAAATCACAACGAGCCATGTCAGGAGAGTAGAGAGCCTGGCGAACCTGCGGAATGCCGTGCTTGGCCAGGAAACCCTGGATCAGGTGTGATGAATGAGCTGGGGCGTTGTCATGATGCAGCTGCCACTTGTGTGCGCCCCACAGCTCCGGTCTCTTGCGCCAAACTGCATCAGGAAGATGGCCGAGGACTTCTTGATAGTACTCCCTATTGACAGTCTGGCCTAGTCATGCGTACTCATGATGCACAACACCCCGGCAATCGAAAAAAACAGTCAGTATCACCTTCACATTGCTCCGAATCTGTTGTGCTCTTTTGGGCCGCGGGGCTGTTGGATGCTTCCATTGTGACGCCTGGACCTTGGTTTTCGGGTCATATCCATACATCCACGACTCGTCACCAGTGATCACAATCTTCAGGAACACAGGATCCCCGTTGCGCACTCCAGCATGTCCTGCGCGACCTCAAGGCGGAGTTGTTGCTGCTCCGGTGGAAGCAGCTTGGGGACAAATTTTACCGCCAGTCTTCATATGCCCAAATCCTCAGTTAAAATTGTGTTTGCAGAACCTCTGCTGATCCCAACCTCATCAGCAACTTCACAGATGGCCAAATGCTGATCCTCCACGGTCAGTGTCCGCACTTTTTCAATGACGTCAGCATTTCGGCTCGTTGACGGTTTCCCAGAATGCTGCTCACTGTCCGCTGACATACGGCCATGTTAAAGCGGTTGAACTACTCTTTAATTTGAATGACCCTCATTGCATCATCGCCAAAAGCCTGCTGAATTTTGCGAATTGTTTCCGCTTGGGTACCCCCAAGTTTCTGACAAAACTTTATGCAGTATCGCTGCTCCAAGCATTCTGTCATCTTGAGCGAAACGAGAATGTGACGAACACGCATTACACCGCTTCGCTATCTGGCAGCCACAGACGCATCCGGCAGTGTTGTGGGTCAGCAAGAAATCACGCATGCGCATGAAAGTCCCTTCTACCACTATGCTCAGTTTCCCCACCCTTTTGGCCATTACTTACAGTGGAAAAAAATAAAGTTGGATACTTTTTGGACATACGGTATGTTGCTATGAGACCCAGTTACCGATACCACATAATTTTTACAGAACTTCCTATAAACAACATGCCACTGGATATCACACCATATTTTTACTATTATCCTCTTGTCATGAACAGTTTCACTTGTATGACATTTTTGTTGTTGGTTAGGTTAGATACATCGTAATGACTAACGAGATTTCACTACAAGGAGCTTCTTGAATCAAACCAGACTGGACTCATCTCACTGTATCAGTTGGTTTGCCTCTGAGCTTTGTTTGAATGTGACCATGTTATGTTGTTCTGCCAGGTTCGTGAATAGGATGAAAATCGAGCAACGCGTCAATCTGAAATTTCTTGTGAAATTGAAAAAAAAAAAAAAAAGAACTCCAACAGACTTATTCCAACTGTTAAAGGAGACATGTGGTGATAATGTTATGCCATGCACGCAAGTTTTTGAATGGCACAAATGGTTCATGGAAGGTTGGGAGGAAGTGGAAGATGTGATGCCCTTTGACCCCCAAACCCGAAGAAAACATTGAGAAAATCAGTGAAATTGTTTGGAAAGATCGACATTTGAGCACTGAGATGGTTAATATGGACACAGAGACAGTAATACAAATCTTAGATGACCAGTTGAACATGAGGAAGTTCTGTGCAAAAAAGGTCCTGAGAACCTCACTCGGGAAATAAAAGACAACCAGAAAAAAACGTTTGCTCTGACATCATGTAACAAATCACAGAACAACTGGATGTCCTTGAAAATGTCATCACGTATGATGACTCTGGATTTTGCAATACGATCCGGAAATGAAGAGGCTGTTAACGAAAAAGGCAAGAATGTGCAAGTCGAAAGTGAAGGCAACGATGATCATTTTCTTCGACATCAGAGGCATAATCATCATTGAATGGGTACCTGAGGGTCAGACGGTTAATCAAAAGTACAGCTTGCAGGTCCTGACTGAGCTCTGAGAACTAGTGAGGAAGAAAATGCCAGAATTTTGGAACAAGAAATCATGGATTCTGCATCAAGACAATGCACCAGCTCACAGCACCCTCACCATGAGTCAATTTTTAGCCGATAAATGCATTCCAGTGCTTGGACACCCTTCCTATTCACCAGATTTAGCCCCCTGTGACTTTTACCTGTTCCCCAAATTGAAAAGTGCATTGAAAAGAGCTCATTTTCATTCTGTCGATGAGGTGAAATCGAAAACGGCATATCTGCTGAACAGGGTGTCAGCTGATGACCTGCAGCACTGCTTTGAACAATGGAAAATTCATATGCCCCAGTGTATAGATGGGTGGGGGAGAGTACATTGAAGGTAATAGAAATTAATTTGTAGGATTTTGAAAATAAACCCGATTTTTCACACCAGTCTCATTATTTAATAGCCACACCTCATATATACACTAATTCCATCCTCAGGAGGATTACTTTATATAGTGTATACTGTCCAGCATTTTGTATCTAGGCTAGAATTTTTGTTGGAAATAGGAACAGGATGTTTATTTTCATTTTTACTGATCATGTGTTATAGATGAGTATTAGATTCCTCTGCGAATGTGATTAATTTGTTTGGTATTTTTTATTACAGCATTCTGGATTTCTCCAAGGATTGTGACTACACTCTCACAATGGTAGATAATTTACTGGATCTGCTGACAGGTGGTGAGCATCGTAAGACAAAGCGTGTATTGGAAGAGAGACGGAAGTTACGTGAGGAAGAAGAACGAATTAGACAGCTACTGGAGGGAAAGCCAGTTTCTTTGCAAGGAATGTCTGATGACAAGATACATTCAGTGTCTTCCTTTCCTCCAGATATTAAAGTTGATTTTGGGGCCCTGAAGTCACTTTCTGATATTGGTATTGATATGAAATTCCTTGATGTTGTTGGTGAGTACTATTTATTTTTAAAGAATTGAGCACAAACTGAATATTTAGTATTCATACTAGTTAGTGGAATATCAGTCTACTTTTATGGTAAAAGTGGAAGTATTTAAGTTATTTGGAATGTACGGGAACAAGAAACTCCATGTTAAGTCACCACAACATAGCATGTCTGGGTTGTGGTTGAAGCAGACTCCTTCCAGAATAAACAGTCTTGAATAGCTGACAAGAAGTGGTCAAACAGATTCAATATAAAAATGGCAGCATATTATGAAATGTTACACATGACTTTGGAGTCAGATGCATCATAACATAAGCAGCGGAAGAAAAGTATGAGATTTGTAACCAGGAATGTGATGTTTGTCTACAGGTCAAGTTCATTAAAAACAGTGGAAAGAAAATGAAAACTTGAATGGAAGTCCATTGGAAGACTAGGGCATAGATTTGAGGATAATGTTAAAATTGATCTTAAAGGAGTAGGCTGGAAGGGTGTGGATTGGGTTCACATGGCTCAGAGCAGACAGGCTCTTGTAATGTCTTTGAATTCTATACAAAGCAGGGAATAGTTTCTCTGGTTGAGTGAAGGAGGACTGTATTCTATGGAGTTCATTAGTTGGGAACATCAGACTGCAGTTCATGTGTTCAAGTTATTATCTGTGGTGACTCATAATTATTATGGAAGCATATAAAACTAAACTCCATGGCTTTAGTCCACAAGTGAACTATAGCGACCAAGTGACCACTACTTTTTCACGAAGTTAGTGCCAACTTAGTGGATAGCGAGTGTCGCGTGGTCAGCACAACAGATCCCCACAGCTGTTAATCTCGGTTTTCTAGACCGGAGCCACTACTTTAACATTCAAGTAGTTCCTCAATTATCCTCACAAGGCTGAGTGGACCCTGTTCCAGACCCACTACTTCTCAGGAAATTGGTAGCGCTGCGAATTGAACCCAGAACCTCTGGATCTGTAGCCAGGAACTCTGACCACTAGACCACAGAGGCAGTCTGGAAGCATGTAATTTCTGTAATATAAAAGCTGAAATTGTTTCAGAGATAATCGAAGTTCAACACTGCATGAAAAGAGTGTGGTTAGATGTTATGTGAAATGATAAAACTAGGAGTCTCATATTATTGTAAAATGTTTTTAAGGCTGTGCCATAGCTCAGATAGTTTAGTGTCAGCTTCTTACTGTATAGCTGTGCATTTTTAACATTATTTTCTTCAAATAAAATTATTGTTTGTTTTCATTTCATTTAAATGTAAGGTACAATTTCAGAATCAAGAACTTTTAATGTTGAATAATGTTGACTTTCTGGGAAATGAATGAGTTTGTACCATATTTTATGAGGTTAGAAACCATTCTGCCAGAACGTACAACCCTACTGGATACTAAAGAACTCCTTATTCTAGAGCAAGAAATACAAGTGAGGGAAGAACAGAGAGCAGCAGAGGAAGCAATGCAAGTCCGCCTGGACCAAACATCTGTATTGCTGCAGAAGTTACAACAAGTTCAAAGCGATCGGCTAAGTCTTACTCCACCAGCTCATTTGTCACATGTTGCCCAGCCATCCGATAGTGAAATTCAGCTTGGTAAGTTTGTGAATATACTGGTTTTGATCTAAATTTGCATTAATTAATTACACTGAGACTTTTAAATGCTGCCATTTGATTGTGATGTGTTCAAGAGAGCATTGTTATAATGGTTAAAGTGGTTTGTAATTTTGACAATCCAGAAATATCATATCTGCACATACTTTACAGAAAATATGACAGCAGGTATTTGTTAGTGCAGCTGAAAATTCATGTGTAATATTTGGCACAAAAAGACTTAAAGGGTACCTAATAAGAATATTCATTCATCATTCATCAGTAATCTGTCAAGACGACAGGTCCACAGTCCCTTCCAAAACAGTTCCTCCACTTGATGTGATCTAGAGCTTTCTCCTTCAAATGAAAATATCCTCTTCTGTCCCCAAGGTCATCCAACATCTTCTTACGTCTTCTTCCTCATATTCTGGTCACTTCTATCCACCCCTCTATATTTCCTTCAATAACTTCTTTTAGAAGGCAGTTACCGCGTAAAATGTGACCAATCCAATTAGCCTTCCATTTTCTTATTTCATGTAGGATATTCCTCTGCTCACTGACTTTAAATAACACTTCTTCATTTCTCACAT